CAGTAAACAGTAAGATGTGTGCCGTTAGATTAGCTGGTTCCTTCCGTGCTACGAAGTCGCGCGGGGACAAACGGTGCCTGTTTGTCATTGCGGCTTACGCCCCCTACAAACTGTAGCACCGATTCGGTAAAAGATGATTTCTATCAGCAACTTCACGAGCTCCTTCGTTACAGAAGAAGCACGGATACTGTGGTGTGGGCTGGTGATCTAAACGCCCAAGTCGGAAAATTGTCATCTGATGAGCTTCATCTGGGCGGCCAACATGGTGTAGGCTCCTGTAATGATAATGGTGAGCGATTGCTCCAGCTGTGTGAAGATGCTCGCCTGTTTCTCGCGAGCATTAACTTTCGACACAGCACCCGCAGAAGCGTGACTTGGCGGCCATCAGCCTCGGGCCAACCATGGACACAAATCGATCATATCACGATCAGTTACCGCTGGAGGGGCTGTGTCCAAAATTGTCGCTCGATTTGGAGCACGAGCGTGGACTCTGACCACGCACTTGTCTGTGCCGACCTCCTGGTGCGTTTCGGTGGACGTCCGCAACGTCGATGTGAACGGATTGACACCAGCCAGCTGGCGAAGCCAGATGTTCTGAATGTATACCATAGTGCGCTGACATCTGGGCTGGGTAAGCGCCCACTAAACACCGTTGAAGATCACTGGTCGCATATTCGTCAAACGTTACTGTCCGCAGGCATGTCTTCATGTGGCAAAGCAAATTACCAAACCGGACATTGGGTCTCTACACAGTCTATGGAACTTATGGATGCTCGCCGACGTATTCCGGCTGGAAGCGAATACAATGAGGCTCGCAAAAATCTCAGGGCAAAACTAAGTGCCAGCCTTAGGAAGGACCGCGAAACCTGGTGGTCTCATCGTGCCTCTGAGATGGAAACAGCCGCTGCCGTTGGTAATCATCGTAAGTTATTCCGTCTGATACGGGAAACAGGCAGCAGGAGACCTGGTGTTAGCGAGACCATACGCGACGAGAGTGGGCAGCCGATCCACAGCTTGTCAAAACGCTTGGAGCGTTGGGCCGAACACTTTGCAAGGCAGTTTAACAAACCTGAGTTATCGCTTTCTTCTTCGGGCATTGAGCGCCCTTCTCCTTGGGCCATCTCCTCGGATCCGCCCTCACGCGCAGAGGTCGAACGTGAGATCCGGCTGTTGAAATTGCATACGGCCTCAGGAGCAGATAGAATTCCCCCAGCCCTCTTCAAATTCGGGGGATCTGCTCTAGTAGATGATCTACACGAGTTGCTAGTAAGACTTTGGGAGCAGGAGACAGTCCCGACAGACTGGAACCGCTCCGTCATTGTCCCAATTTTCAAGGGAGGCTCTCGTTTGGAATGCGGCAATCATAGAGGGATCAGTCTGATTTCGATTGCCTCTAAATTGCTTGCCTCTCTCATTCTCCACAGACTGACTGGCACTCGTGAAAGCCAGATTCGTGAAGAGCAAGCCGGATTTCGTCGAGGTCGGGGCTGCATCGACCACATCTTCACATTGCGTCAAGTGTTGGAGCACCGCCATGTTTATTGGCGACCCACCGTTGTCGTGTTTCTTGGCATAAAAGGTGCCTTCGATTCGGTCGATCGATGTGCCCTTTGGGACTGTCTTCTGAGGAAAGGTGTGCCTGATAAATATGTAAACATTATCAAAGCGCTGTACGCACATATTTCGGGCAGGGTGAGGGTTTATGGCAAACTCTCGCCACCCTTCAGTATCACCAGCGGCGTGAGACAAGGATGCCCGTTGTCACCTTTCCTCTTCAACTTCGCTATTGATGAAGTCATAGAAACAGCGTTCGCTGGACACGACCTAGATGGTGTGGAGCTACTTCCTGGTGAGCGACTTCTTGACTTGGAGTATGCGGACGATATTGCCCTAATCTGTGATAGCCTCCAAACATGCCAAAGAGCACTGGACCGATTAGCACTGGCTGTCAATCGTTTTGGGCTATGCTTTGCTCCATCGAAATGCAAAGTACTTCTCCAAGATTGGCAGGGACCGAACCCTGCGCTAACGCTTGGTGGTGATCTGCTAGAAGTCGTTCAGGAATTTAAGTACCTGGGCACCTATATTAGCACCCGTGGGATTGAAGATGAGGTTACGAACCGTATAGCAAAAGCTCGAGGTGCTTTTGCCAATCTCCGCCACCTGTGGCGCAGACGCGACATTACTCTCGCCCTCAAGGGCAGGGTTTACAACGCAGCCGTCCGTTTAACTCTCCTATCTGGCTGTGAAACCTGGCCCATCAGGTCGACAGACATGAAGAGACTCGTCACATTCGATCATCGCTGCCTTCGCAGCTTAGCTCATGTCTGGTGGGAACACCGCGTGAGCAATGAGCGTGTTCGACGTCGCGTATTTGGTGCAGGCAGAGCGAGTGAACCGCTCAGCACCATTATATCATGCACCAGGCTCCGATGGCTGGGCCACGTGTTGCGCATGCCAGCACACCGACTCCCGCGACGTGCATTGTTTGCGCGTTGTGGGTGCGGTTGGAAGAGGAGGAGGGGAGGCCAAGTGATGACTTGGTCGAGAAAAATGAAAACCGTCACTTCGAAGTTGGCGTCGGTTGGTGCATCATGACTGCCTGGCTGGACTCCTAAGGACGATGAACACGTTTGGTTGGACACACTTGCTGATATGGCTAGGAGCCGGCACCAATGGCGTTTGTGTTGTGATTTCCTTTGCCCATCCCCCTCCTGTTTAGTATCCCCCTCCAATCACGATCTCACCTGTTAGGCATAATATGATTCTCTTTTTACGGCAGCCAGCAGTTAGCTCTCCGGAACGATGTCCATCCGTTACTGGGGACTCAGCGGGCGTGCCTCCGTTTGTCACTGTTTTCCTTTTCTTTTATTTTGTATTGCGGCACAATAGCTGAGGTGTTTTCCACCTTCAGCTAACGTGTAATGATGATGATGATGATGATTTGCGCGCTTCGATGCTTCAGGGATCCATTCACAGTTACGATGTCTGAAGTCGTGTTCACAGCATGTGTCAAAGGCATTCTTCATGGCACACTTGAGACGATCCCATACAGCATTCGGTTCACCAACCTCATTTATCACTGACAATTGGTGCGCCAGTTCGTTATAATATTATTGAACCGTAGACTGCGAGCTTGTTACTGGTAAGAGGGTTAGAAGATAGGCGCTTCTTCGAAGTGGGAAGAGCGAGTGCCAAGCGTTCGCGCAATATAGCTTGGTCGGAATCAAGGCATGTGCTCCAAATTGACTGACAGTCTTGGACTGATCTGCGCCACCTGTAGCTAATGGCAATATGGCCAATTTGGGTCCAAGTCATTGGTGAATTCGGTGGGCGCCAGGTGACGCGGTGTGAACGTTTGTGCTGCAAAGCAGTGCTGCTAATATAAAGATTGTGGTTAGCAAACGGTTGCACAAATCGATCACCATTGTCTGTTCGGCGTGCATCGACTTCGAAACGCCCTCCCAAGTGTTGTTCAGAATCTGAAAGACGACCCACTTAGGTATTCTTGTCATCAGCAACAATCATGAGGTCAGTATTCTTCGCCATGCGGTGGAGATGAAAGCTGGTAATAGAAATCATCTTTGTCACCCTCTTAACTGCAGTCGATAGTAGCGTAAACGGAGGCGATGTATAGACAACTCGTCTTCATATGGTGTTTATTAACCCTAATAGTGACTCGAACTCAGACCGCACTTATGCAGCTGTTCACCGGTATCCAGTTGAGTAGATTGCCCTCAGCATATCTGCTGAAGTCGATAGCAACACAGAACTACGAGCCATTGACTCGGAATTGACAGAGACGTGAAGTGTAGTCATCGTCGTCAGCTTCAGAACCAGGGAGTCAAACTTTTGTTACAATGCTGTTATCGTGTATGCGTGTTTCGGAGACACAGCACACATCAATACCAAGAGAGTGAAGAGTGAGAGTCGGTGCTGCATGTTGAGCGATCTGACCCAAAGTGCGGACGTTAAAAGAACCCGTGTGAAATGGGACTCGTGATTTGATGGACGAATTATGAGTATCCATGGCAGCAGCATCGAGGTCCGCGGCAGATTCTCGCTCAATAGACGGGCAAGAAGAGAGTGGAGGGAAAATAAATAGAGTATTGTCGACGTGATCAGAAGCGCAGATGGTACTCTCCGGCTTCCTATTCCGATAGAGGTGTTTTGTTCGAGGTGCCCTACCTCCAGACTTTGACTCAACTGCCTGAACCACAAGGCAGTGGAGATATGGAGGTTTTCTTGAGGGACTCCACCCGAAGCCTTTGGTTCAATAGCCTAAGGTACAAAGTAGTGTGAATCAAGTCTGACTCTGGAGTGTGATTGCTGTGACCCATTGGGATCTGCTTGCGGGCTGTCACACAAGCCTTTGGAGATTTAAAACAGTGCACCTATATTTTACGGCCGTATTACGTTACGCACCTGCTACCACGACCAGCTGCAGGTTGAAGTTGGTGGGTTTGCACCAATTTGCCTAGTGGTTGCCTGACTTGAGACGGGCGGTAGCAAACCAATGAGCAACGGTAGGTACTCCCCCACTATCAAAGACAATGCGTAGCGCTCGTGCTCTACGCCAATCGAGCTTTGAGCTTATAACCTTTAGACCTGTTGTCTCCTATGCCTAGCTTTTAAAGGAAGAAGGCTATCGACCTTTCTCTAATCTCCGAAGAGTACTGCATTGTGAAACAGTTAATCTGACCATTGACCTGTCTGGTGTGAGTGACTCTGCAGGCACTTGGAAAGTGCCACCCAACGTAGCTCATTGAGTCACGGGACTACGCAAATTATCACACAACGCTTAGGTTCAGTCTCGTTGCGATGGTCATTTGATGATAACTATTGATTGATCCCAGGAAGAGCATTGTCTACTTTCTTGCTTCACACCGTTCATCGGCTTGATTGCACTGATAACAGTTGCTTTGTTTTACAGGCTTGAAATTTGTGGCGTTTTCGGTTTATCATTGTAGCAACTTTGTCAGCTTTCCCCCCTTTGAAGTATGCAGGTGCTTATTGAGATTTTGTTCACACACAACGAAATTTTTTTATTTACTGAGCAAGATCATTTCCGGTTCCTGATGGCTCGCTGACCTTCCCATGGAATTAGCTAGCTATAAAGGTTTCAATCTCCAATTTGTGATCATGCGTATATTTTAATTTCGATATATATATATATATATATATATATATATATATATATATATATATATATATATATATATATATATATATATATATATATATATATAAGGCAGAATGCCACAACACATGGCTAACGACGAAAAGGCAGTCACGGCATGGGATGCGTAGGTTCATGTGCTGTGTGAGCAGATGGTTTCCCGGTTGCCCAGATCGAGGAAGAGCATTGAGTTAAGGAACCCCACCCCTAGCCTTTGGTCTTAAAGACCTGACCTCTAATACAGCGCAGTGATTAGCGCATGTCATTGGAACGTGCAGTCATCCGATGAGTTCGTAGACCATTGACAGCCAGGTGGCTCTTTCTCCTTCCCGTTTTGGGCAGCATTCCGCAGAGAAGCCGGTATCCAGCAACGTTGCTTTTCCGCCCTCACATCCCTACTTTGTAATTTGAGGATGCGGATTCCAGGCTGCGTGGTGGAATGGGTAACCCTCTCAGCAAAACGTCGGTACAGCCTACCGGCGTACTACTGACGCTTTTTTTGCAAGTGAATGATCCCAACTCTTCCACCGTGGTTAAATGAAGATACACCACTGCTTTGTATGTTTTCTGCTTTTTGGCGAAGTTCTCGTTATTCCCTGGCTGGAACGCAGTGTTACTCTGTTTATCAACCAGGCGAGCTTGTTGGCTCTTGTGTCGTTATACTCGAGTCTAAATCTCATTTCACTTTGATCTCCATTGCGTGTGTTCATTCCGTCACGTGTACCCGTTGTGCTGCCCTAAACCAATTTTTATCCCCTGCACACTTACATCTTCATATGTTGCACGTGGCCGCATTGTTTCCCTTTGCCCTTTCCTTCAGGTGGTTTGGTTACAGCAGCAAGTGCTCAAAGTTCGTGTCAAGCGTGACACGCATGTGTCTTTCAACGATCCTCATTGGCCTCAGATGTGGTACCTAGTAAGGAATCACAGTGAATGTTTTGACCGTTCTACCTGTTTGCTTCTTAGAGCACCACGTTGTCATGGTGTCTTAGAGACACATCCAATTATATAACCCCCTGTATACCTTGGAAGATTTAACAAAGCTATTTCTCTGTAACTTGACGATCTGTAACGTTTGCTACATCTAGTTTAAGGTTCCCCTGCTCTGTCCTTTGTTAGTGACCATTTAAATGTTGTATTTTCTTCAACCTTTGCTTGCCTTACATCGCACCCGCCTATTGACTCACTTGTAGGAGTAACAAGTGGTAATTTGTGTCTTTTTTCTCCTTTTTCATGGGTTCTCAATTACACCCGCCATATTGTTCAGTACGCAGAGTGCATAGTTATATATCTTCCACACGGTTTTAGTCTACACGGTGCTTCTCTTCACTCAGTATGGAGACAGCATACTTGTTGCCTGAATCCACAAACCGTCAGCACACCGTTTTATTGACACGCTCTTCGTTACTTCGTTATTTTCAGCTTGACCACCCTACACGACCATATTTGCCCCTCATATGCCATTGTTCGGTTACCTAACCGAGTTCGGCCGGCACCATCGCGACGAAACTGGACCTTAATGTATTGCGATGGTTTGCGTGCCTCAGTGATCCATTGAGCTCTGTTAAATGACGATTTTTGCACCTTCAGACACACACGGTTTGGTCAACTGTTAGAGGCCAGACAAAATCAGTCTCTTGGTCTTCCAAGTTGGGGGTTGAAGTATAGGTCACTATTTTCTTCGTAAATGGTCTCTCTGTAGCCCAGTGACACAACACCGCTGCTTTGCGGTTTTTAAACCAAATGCTTTGGTTGAAAACCCTAATCGTTCTCCTGTCTAGGCTTGGGCACTTTGAGGTTATCTTGCCCATGAAATACAGCAAATTTCTCTGCAAATAGTTTCTTGCTTCTCCGGTCGTCGCACAACATAATCACCGGCACCCTATCTGTTGCGTCGAGCAAGTGATGCTGCTCAGGCCTTCCCGTTTTACTATTTCCCTGTTACGCTTTTTCACCCGTACCATCCCGTTCCAGCTTCTTTTTTATCCAACCAATTTTCACCCCCCTCCCCAATTATTGGCGCTGCCCCATCTTGCTTCAAACAGGCGTTTGTGACTGAGACTGAGACTGTATTTAAGAGCAAATAGGAAGGTTTCTGTACAACTCTATCGAATTACGAAAAATCAAAATTTACTTGTGAATTATCAGCAGTTGTGTCTGGTCCGTTAATCGTTTATCCATGTTCGGTTATGAATTTGTACTAGTGTCATTATTTCCGGACATACAATGTCTTCTTTTGGCACTGTATGTGCATCATTTCACAAAAGCACAGGTTTCCAAAATAATCGTCGATACGCGTTTTAAAACACTTCACAGAATCGGCCTCTATTAATCCTTCTGGTAGTGTATTCCATAAGTTTACGATCCTTCTTTCGATACAAAGCTGATGTGATACTTTGTTCATGCTGGGGACCCTGAGTTTGTAACGGTGTCCTCGGGTGTTACATGGTTCTCGCAGGTGAAATATTGGCCGCAGTATGGGGAAGTGGCTCAAGTGTAGTACTCGATGGGTCATAATAAGATCAATTCTTACTCGGCGATAGGATAGTGTGTAGAGTCCGAGCCTTTCACAACGTTTTTCATACGGAAGCTTTCGTAGACTTGGTATCATTCTAGTTGCGATATGCTGTATTTTCTCCAGTTTTTCAGTTTCCCATTGGGTTATCGGATGGTAAGCTGCGGCACCGTATACAAGGATTGGTCTAATGAGCGAGGTGAATAGACGATGGACGGTTTCTTCGGACCATGTGGAGAAACTGCGCCTTAATGCCCAGAGCATACGAAGTCCCGCACGTTACAATTTCTCTGTATTTTCCAGTGATCTTAAATCATGTCGTGCAAGAACTCCTAAGTCTGTGACAGATGTGTTGGGATGGAGCAACTGGCCGTCCAAGGTGTATGATCGAGTGGCTGGACGTCTGGTGATACTGATGAACTCCGACTTGCTTGCGTTAAGAGGGAGTTGCATTTCATTGGACCACGTTGACAGTCGCTATAAGTCATGCTGGAGGCGAGCGCAGTCGTCCTGGTTCTCAATGATCCTCCAGATTTTCAAATCATTTGCAAACAGGGCACATGGTGACTGGAGCTGCTGCGGAAGATCGTTGATATGAATAAGAAATAATACCGGCCCAAGTACAGTTCCTTAAGGCATGCCACTGGTCGATGGGAACCATTCTGTCAGATAGTCATTGACCTGTACTCTAAACCTTCGTCCCACAATGAACTCTTGTATCCACTGAAGTAACGTGCCACCGATTCCGTATGTCCTCAGTTTACGAAGGAGTATCTCGTGATTCACTTTGTCAGACGCCTTACTAAAGTCGATGTACACCACGTCAACATCCTTCTGTTCATTGAGAGCTCGAACCCACTGGTGGTTTGCGTATATCAAGTTTGTGATGCAGGATCGCCCTTTCGTAAAGCCGTGTTGCGCTGGCGTCAATACGTCCATCGATTCGAAGAACGACAGCAGACACTTTTTCACAACCTTCTCGAGAACTTTGGATAATACCGAAGTCAAACAGATCGGTCTATATTTCTCTATTTTACTCGGATCACCACCCTTGGGAAGCGGTTTAACTATCGAGCATTTCCAGTCGTTCGGGACGGATCCTTCAGAGAGCGATCTATTGAAAAGGTTTGTCACAGCTGGTGAGATGATAATCGATAGAGAGTTGAGTATTAGTGGGTGAAGTCCATCTGGTCCGGGAGGCTTTGCACCATTGAGGTTGACGAGTGGCTGGTACACTTCGACTGCATCACATTGTAGGCTGTCGAGCAAGACTTGCGCAACCTGTGCCGGTACTGGAACAGCCGCCAGTTTACTGGAAAATACAGTGAGGAAGTGCGTAGCCAGGGCGTCCGCGCGCTCCGCGCTTGAAATGAGTGTCTTCCCGTCTATGCTGTCTAAGACCGGTAGGTCGTTCCCAGGTTTCAGTTGACGTTTCAAGTAGGCAAATATTCGTTTGGGTGCAGTTGTGGCTGAGGATGCTAGCTCCTTTTCGAACTGCCGGCGTTTCTTGATCTTTGCGGCCTTACATAAGTTACGCTGTTTCTTGTACACCGTGTAATCTTCATCACAACCCGAGCTGATGTATCTATCCCAAAGTTTAAGACGTCGTCGCGCTAACTGTCTGTATTCCCTATCAAACCAATGCGGTTTAACAGGTCCGATTTTTGGATACTTAAGGGGAACGAACCGAGTACAGAGCGAGTTGAGCTTCCCCTTTATTAATGACCACCAGGCCTCAAGTGATGCATCATGTGGTAGTGTCCAATCAGTCTGACTTGCGGCTTGGAGGAGTCCGTTGAAGTCCGTCTTCCAATAGTTGGATGTCGGCTTCCGTTGATTGTAATATGGTAACCACAGTTCTAAGCTTGCTACAATAGAGCAGTGGTCACTGTTCGCCAGAGGTTCGATGACTCTGATCTCTCTTAGCTTCTGCTCGCAGCTCGTAAACATTAGGTCCAGACTCATTAGGTCGACTCACGCAATCGCAGGGCGCCGCTCCGGTTCAATCGACAAGTCCGCAGGCTATCAGCTATTCGAGAACTGCATTCCTGTGTGGAACAGTCTGGTTTCCGCTCTCGTCAAGAGTTTGTGTGGACCACATGTTAACCCTCCGCCAACTTCTCTTGCAGCGTTACCTTTACTGCCAGCCTACCATTGTCACATTTTGGTCATCTGAGCTGTGTCCGGCTCAGGCGCTCGACCTGCTTTATGGCGTTGCTTGTAAGCGAATGAGGTGCCCGAAATGTTTACCACCATCCTTCGATCTTTATACAACAATGTACCTAGCAGAGTGAAGGCTTATTACATAATTTCTCTTCATCTTTCGTCTTCACTAACCGTGTACACTGGAAGGTCACCAGCGTTCTGGAAAGGCCGAGGTTGTCAACCTACCACATGGCGACAAAACGCCAAGGCACTTACTTCCAGTCGAGTTGTTATCACAGCTCGAAGACTCTTGTGGACCTGGCGCCGAATCGGGGATGATGTACAGTAAGCATGAATTTAGGCACTGTTTCTACTTACCAAAGCCATATTCACTCAAGTGACAAAATAAACAAAGCGGTGTGTGAAAATCGCGAAAGCCAGTTCTTTTCTGGCTTTTTTATCAGTTCGAATCGATGCGTGCGCGCAACTGACAAGTCCTACTAGGGCGGAACGGCCGTCTGGCGCTTTCTTGGATGTGTAGTGGCTGTCTGGATGAGTTTGGATGTGACAAAGCCTTCTCAGAAGCGTGGATGAGTTTATGAGGAGGCTTTATGCTCCGAATGACCTACTCTTTACTACTCTATGGCATTGGCGATTCCTCACAGTCGCATTCAGTTTGTGAGCCACTGTGGATCAAAAAACTCGCTGAACAGCCGTTTTATTCCTCTGGGTATCCTCAGTAGGGCCATGTTATCTTATTCGTCCACGGGGAATGAGCGGCAGCTGCTACGACCATTTAACCAACTGTGATATAACACAATACCTACTGATCCTGTGCTGTCATACGCTTTTCGAACGTCTAGGTGACAGGGTTAGGGGGTTGTTGGAGACCTCATCAGATTTGGCGCTCCTGTATCCGGTTTTTTACACCTAGCTTTCAGTATTCCATTCCGATTACTTCTCACTTCGTTCTGACTCAGTTTTTTTTCCTCATTCCCTTAGAATTCTGGTTGTGTTCGACGTTGTGTGCTCACAAATATTATTTATTGTTATTCCGACGATCTGGTCAGCGGCAATTGGATCCACCACACTCAGGTGCCTGGATCTTAGTTGTTTAGCTGAACTAGCCAGCTGCGACGCGATTTCCACTGTTGAACCGCCGTGTTGATGTTAACTGGTTTAGGTAATTGTTACCTGCAGGAAACATTAAAAGAGCAGTTGCTATGGATTTGGATAGCAACTCGTCAGGCTGTGACGAAATGTAGTGCAAATCCCCTCCTTCATTGGCTTAGCTACTCACTCCGAAGATTTTATTCCTATATTTTTATTATTACTGTTATTATTATTACTTAGTTGCTTAAATCGTGACAGCTGCATCGTCCACATTTTGTTGCATGAATTACAACTGAGCACTTTTGCTGTCAAAGCAAATTTCGATTTTTTTCGTGTTAAATGAGTACTGCGATTTTCCCGTCTATTCTTTTATAATCAACTGCTCGCGATCTGGTTCCTTGTCACCATTGTTTACGCGAACTGACTGATGTTCTTTACATCAGTGTTTAAACTTGGTTTGTCTGTCTTTTTGCTTCCTTATTTGGACCTCACAGATGTGAGAACCTCGTCCATTATCTATTGTTCATGCTTTTGCATCCTCTGCTGGTCACCTTTTTTAACCGGGAACACTGTGTGGTCCATATTTTCCCCCAACACTACTCTACTAAACTGCAACTTTAGTCCATCCTCATGAATGATTTCCGCCCTGATCAGCAGACTATTTCTGCGGAACTGACTAACTTTCTCCGTCTCATTTTGTGGCGTTACAGTGTTGTCTTACTACCCATTGATGCTAGTCCATAGTACAGTGGGTAAACTGGACCCATGTGCATTCTTAACCAGTTTTCACAGACTTTTCTACGTATGCACTGGCTCACTCACGTCAGGATGACTTACTTACATTTGACGGAAAAGAAATAGGAATCAGCAGTGAGCCCATACTTCGTAGCGGTGCTTTCCAGCTGCGTGACCATCACTAGGGGCGCCTGGGCTATGGGTATTGCGAACTCGCTAGTACTTACGATGGCTAAACCACTAAAGCTATTGCTGCGCTCAGTTGACTTACTCAGCTTTCAGAGGCCCAAGTCTCATTTGGGACGTAGAAACATTTCATTAGTCTGCCAGCCTTCAAAATCTTCTAGTGTTCGTAATTTCAAGCATCTCATTTGTCAATTTGAACACTCATCTTTCTCGAAGCTGTTCCATGATTGTTTCATCAGTTTGGCTGCCCCCGTTAACCAGCAGACGTATCCTTTAGGGTATCAACCGTATGGATGCTTCGCTGCCGCGCAACCACCAACAGCCGCGCGTGGGCCAATGATACTGCCAGTCGCCGAGTCCTCTACGCGCCCTCGGATTACGAGGCCTGCTTTTAATGTTTTTGACCACGGGCCGGCACCTCTCTTTTAAGAGCTAAGACTATGGGTAGAAATATAATACTAATATGTATATTTCTCAGGATCCGAGAAACGGTGTCTGTAGGAGCGCAAGTCAAAATGCACGAAAGTAATCGTGTTTTTGCATAGGCTATTCGTATAATATCGTTCTAGTGGATGGTTGATGCGAAAGCCAAGGCTTGGAAACTGATGTTTAGACTTTTTTGGCCACTTTTGGAATAACTCACCGAGAGACTTTTCCCGTGTGCATATAGTTGTCATGGTATTCACGTCAAGATAACATGAGAGCTTGTTACTTAATGTTGTCACATGACCTGAGTGTAATTGGCAGGTTGTTCCACAGATAGGTATATTTGACCAAGAGAAAATTTGAGCGTATGCTTGTTCTAGTCTTTGGTATAATCAATACATAATCTTTTCAGAAAACTTGGTAGACGACCGGTTAATGTATTTATGGTGATAGACAACGTTTCACTTTTGACACAAAAGCTTCATCAGGCGACGTGAATTATCTTAACATTGGTATTTTTAGCGATTGTGGCTAAACTACATATATAGACGAATCAATTTGCAGTTCATCAATGAATGATTACAGCGGTCAAAGGTCCATATGTTCGTGGGTACACTGTTGTTTGTTTCAGTCAGGGTCAAGTTGGGAAAAGAAACTGCCGGTCCGTGGATAATTGCATTGTGGTTAACAATCTTAATTGAACCCTTGCAGGGAACTTGGACACCGATAGAATTTGGCTTTAGTACTTCGGAATTTGGTGGAGGGTGGGTCGATAGTTCATTCCGATTTGGGATCCATCCACCGATGTTTATCAAGCTGGTCGGAGTAAGACTGGACGCCAGGCACTGGACAGCCCTACTCCGTCTATTCTATTCACGCAGTTGTTAGTCTTGGTTATTTCTATAGCCTCAGCGATCAGCCTTTGTTTGGCTGATCGTAATCCCTTCCTGATAACCTCCACATTTTCGAAGTCAATTTTGAGCCCCGTGTCTAGCGTATGCATTGCTATTTCCGAATCTCTGAGTAGAGCTGCATACTCTAACTCATTTCGCGGAGGTCGTGATATATGTCGCCTATGTTCTGAAACCCTTGTACGTAATTCCCTAGCTGTTTGGCCTATATACAATCTTTACATGGAGTTTTGTAAATGCAGTTAGTTGTTCTATCTAAAGGCACTGAATCTTTCATATGCACAAGTGTGGACCGTAGCGTTCGACCCTTCTGGAAAACCACCCTTATCTTCTCCTTATTCAGTACTCTCCGAATCGCTTCCCAAGTTCCTTCTTTATACGAAATACCCACTGTCGCTATCCACTCTGTGATTGGTGTTGCGTGTGAGTTGAGACATTTCTGTAGCTGTCGCTTCACCAACCGTTTCGGATATCATCTAGCTAGCGGAAGGGATTACGATCAGCCAAACAATGGCTGATTGCGAGGGCTATAGACATAACCAAGACTAACAACTGCGTGAATAGGATAGACGGAGTAGGGCTGTCTAGTGCCTGGCGTCCAGTCTTACTCCGACCAGCTTGATAAACATCGGTGGATGGATCCCAAATCGGAATGAACTATCGACCCACTCTCCACCAAATTCCGAAGTACTAAAGCCAAGTTCTATCAATGTCCAAGCTCCTGGCAATGGTTCAGTTAAGAATGCTAACCACACATGTAACTATCCACGAATCGGCAATTTCTTTTCCCAATTTGACCCTGACTGAAACAAACAACAGTGTCCCCAGAACATATGGACCTTTGACCGCTGTAATCATTCATTGATGAACTGCAAATTGATTCGTCTATGTATGTAGTTTAGCCATGATCGCTATAAAATACCAATGTTAAGATAATTCACGTCGCCTGATGAAGCTTTTGTGTCAAAAGCGAAGCGTTGTCTATCACCATAAATACATTAACCAGTCGTCTGTCAAGTTTTTTGAAAGGATGACTTCCCGATCGGTTCCAAATATGTTCCAAGATATTGAGTACATAATCTTTGTTGTGAAACTCTCGAATTGAGCTATGTTGCACTTCCAGTGCAATGTTTTATTCTGTGGCAGATTATAGAACACCGATAAGTTATGCTTCAACCGTCGCATCCAAAGTGGTTCGAGATGAATTTTGTTGCAATGCCGCCTCACCACGTTATACTATTGGTGCCTGTCACCTACGTTTCCCTTGATCCAGTGGGTGGTCGCTGCCGTGTTGATTAGTGGCCACGATTGCAGTCTACTCTGCTCCTCTTTCTGGGACATGCCACCGTCTACATCCCATTGCATTCTTTGATTACACTGGCTACTTCCTCTATGGTGTGAACTATTTTGTATTGAAGCTTGTTATTCCTTTAGCTCCACACTTGTTAGTGTTATAATCTTCATCTTCTAGAATCGCGGTGGGTCTGGTGGTTTTGACATGAATGTACGTTCAGCCTGGGCACGCGGATATGCTGGCCAAGGTGTCGTGGTTACTATACTGGACGATGGGTTGGAGATTGACCATCCAGATTTAAAAGAGAATTATGTAAGTTGTCAACGATATTTCGTCAATATTCGATCCTCCGTTTTGTTTCTTTGCTTTCAGCTATACATACTCGGCCATCTTCACCCGAATTAAGTCACCCCGGTTCCACTTGTCCTTACTGAAAACTTCACACGCTCCGCATCACATTCAATCCTGATGAACTTTGTCGTTATGGGCTTATTTCGTCGACCACAAGTATAAACCATTGGGTTGATGTTCACCAGTCATCCAAGCGGCATCCAATGTTGCTTTTGTTTGTGGATGCAAACTACTGTTACGTGACTGGGCTGACCAGCCACCGAATGACCACCCGAAGTAGTTGACCGGTTTGCGTGACTTAATTTTTGCACCACTATCACCGATCGCAGCACTGAATGGTTTACTTTGCGCGTTAGCAGGGTTCATGCGGGTTTACCAGACTTCTATCACCTCTGAAGATATTATGACGTAATCTTACGGGCGAAGAGCAGAGCGCACAGCGCCACTGTGCATGTTTGACCGAAATACTTAAAACCTCATACTTGCCACTTATTGTGGTGACTGATTTTCATTAATCACTGATCCTTACGCAACTCCACTTCCATCTGGTGAGAATACTGGGTGGTACGACTCCGCGTAGGGGCGGGCATCCTCAAGGTATACTCAGCCCAGCGCGACTGGTGGTGGTCGCGCGGCAGCGAAGCGTCGTTATGGCATACAGCCTACACACTGGGTAGTACTAGGGAATTCCACTGGTTGCTGTTTGACAGCCGAACATTTTGTACCCTAACGGACTGTCTGTTTAATTGTAATCGCGTGCTATGCTTGAGTCATCTACTTTCCGTAGTCACACACTGGTATTGCTACTGCAATCGCGAAGACATCAGCCAATTACCTGGTACCAGCACAGAGAAACTTACGGAAAGGTAGCCTGTTTCGTAAGTGTCGTCTTCCTGAATGGTGACTCCGAAATTTACCACATCATAAGTTAACGGACATTATGCACTTGTCAAGGTAATGACGTTCTTGCATTCTCTCCCTTGCTTCCCACTCTCAGCTCCCATAGTTGGTGATTTTGGTCTCCTCCCTTTCTCTTGAATCGGCATTTCCCTTTTGATTATGATTTAGCTACACTTCTTAGCCGCAACAACTATGTTCACGACACCTCGTACACAAATTCCACTTGTCACTATCCCATGACTCACTGATTGGTAAGCAACTTCTGACTTACAACGTCCCAGCGTCCATTTCCTCATTACTCCTGTTCAGTTTGTTTTCGTCTCTTTTCACACCCTTGTTAATGAAACCAGTGTGTCGTTTGCGAGACGCAGCACTCACTAGTCTTTACTCCTACTTCTTTGCAGTGTGGAAACTTTCGCTTAAGCAGGGGCTTTGCTACGCCACATTTAGTTGCCCTATTACTTCTGTACAGCCCAATTCATTGGCAATAACTCTGTCTCATAATTGTAACACAGATGGGTTTACAACGCTGTTTCGTTGCCTCGCAAGCTTTTCACCAATTTTGCGTTATTTGATGCTCACCTCGATGCTTCATCCTATCGTGGTTCGATACCATATCTTATTTTTCCTTATCTTTATTTTCTCCACAGGATCCTTTCGCGTCCTATGATGTTAATGGTAATGATGAAAATCCCGAGCCTCGCTATCCGTCGGACGATAAGAGCACTACGTCGAAGTACGTTGAAGTACTTTCCGTGTGCTTGAATGCCACTGCATCTGCGTGCCTCTCTTATCAATCTGCACATGTCTGCGAATTCGGGTTCGGGTGCCACATGTTGAGTTTCTATTTATTACAGAAATAGGCTTGCCTGATTCCAACTCACAGCCTCTATACTACTTTCCATTCATGTTTCTAATGTATTAAGATTTATGCATTGCGTTTTTAATTCCAAGTAGTTGATTCTTCCTTCGATCCTCGTTTCCAGTTTAGTTGGTTGCCATCTTTAAGCTAAATACTCTATTGTAGGAGCAAGTAGAGATTTAAATCTCTGCAACTCCATCGGACCATGATCAAAATGTTTTAAAAAGTGTATGCCATCTGTTGGTCCCCTACTCATTTATCAACTTCTGAAGTAACATTAAAAAATATCTGATGTGCAGTATTACTGGGCTCACAAATGTCAAACGCCATTGTCGTTGTGCGTTCGTTCGCTGAATCGAATTGAGCTGGAATACAGTTTCAACACAGTGTTGAATTGCTGCACTTATTTGGCTTTCACAACACGTTCTAGCAGACTGTTCCACACATTTACCACTCTGTGTTCGTATCACAGGGAGCAGAGAACCTAGAAAAATGGATCTATTACAGAGAAGGCAAACGCTTTACAGTTTTCCGTAGGTAAAATGTGAGATCAAAAATGGATGTGTCAAGGAAACATATAGCTATGGAGTTACCGCAATTTTCACGCGTACACATATTTTGGCTACGTTGTCCCGTGTCCCATTACATTGGGTTAAATCATGTATTACAGCTGGTTTGATGCATCATCAAGTCGAGTATTGAATTCGGTCGGATAAGGTAAGAGCAGATACGACAAAATGTGGAAGTAAGTTCCGCGACTGGGATATACGAAATGAGACAACGTTCCAGCGGCATTCCAACCGGCTATACTGTGTCGCCAACTTCAAATGATGGCCTCTCAGTAATGTGGTTTGGCTTGTCGGCATGGATAGTTAAGATGCTTGAGGATCTGATGCAAAACTATGAGACCACCACGCATAAGACCATATTGTTCACTGAAAACTCCTAGAGTTTTTAGTCTCAACTGGTAAGAGAGGTGGAGTAATCATTTATCATTTCTTGTCGCCCTCCGTTATGGATTCGCAAGAGTGGTAAGACCATGTTTATACCCAGGGATACAATGAACAATGCATTTATACGGATTAAGTCGTGTTGCTTTACTAGTCCCGATGGCTAGTTGGTAGGGATATCAAAATCAAAATAATAATAATACCAATAATAATAGTTCGTATTTTAACTATGGAGATAAGAGCTTATCGTTTGCTTCGCCGTAGTCCTTCGATCCATTTAGATTCACAGCACTCACAGTTAACATCAACTAAATCCATGGTAAACTCCAGGTGTAGGATGGAGACATAGCTCCAAGTGACAAAGTGTAAGTGGATGAGTGCGTCATCCCACCGTCTTTTAAACACTGTTAGGAGAACATTCCACGGTTGACAGACACTCCAGACGGCTATACTGTTCTGCGAGTTTCAATGAGTGGCCCCTCAGGTTTGTATTGCGGCTGAGTTGCAGTATTGAGCGGCACATATGATGTCGGTCTTGCAGAATCAAGTATGCCATAATCAGGTAGTCTGCGATTACTTCCGCTGAAAACCCCCTATCGTTGCAGCCTCTCCTGATATGAAATATTGCGCATTACAATTACATTCTTAGATACCAGTCGTTGTGGATGTTCCAGTGCATTCAGCTCATGTTTTAGCCATGGATGCTAGGCTTGAATTGTGTATTCGACAGGGGGGTGAACATACGCACTGAGCATTTGTCGAAAGATGGAGCGGTTTATTTGTCTAAATGCCCATCGCAACAGCCCTACGTGTTGTTTCCCAGTCTTCGAGGCCTTTTTGGATTGCCCGTAGCAACCCAAGTCATCTTGAACTAGGACACCCAAGTCACGTTCGACAGCTGATTGTTGTAGTATATTCATTCCGAGCCCGTATGAGTAGTTACTCTGATGTCGGATGGAAAGTACCTTGCATTTATTGACGTTGAAAAGCAGTAAATCTTGGGTTGATCATTGATGTACTGTGCCTAGGTCACTCTGAAGTAGATGCTGTTCGGCGTTTGCCAGGATCCTGCGCCAAATCTTGATATCGTCGGCAAAAATTAGGAAGTTTGAAGCGATCCCCTGTGCAATGTTATTAATAAACACCAAAAACAACGTGGACCTAGAACTGAGCCTTGCGGCACACCACACTCGACTTGTATGGGGTCCGATAAAGAGCTCCGAACTCTGACCACTAATTGCCGTTGAAGTAGAAAGTTGGCAATCCAGCTTAAAAGAGGGTCGCCGATCCCGTAATGCTGGAGCTTGGAGAGTAGTATCCGATGGTCTAGACGATCGAAAGCCTTCGAAAAATCCAGGTAGATCACATCAACGCCTTCTCCAGCGTCAGCTGCCTCGGTCCAACTACTGCGTGCGATTAGTAAATTCGTTGTACATGACCGCTGTCGACGGAAACCGTGCTGCTCAGGCGTGATGATGTTGCAGTTTTCCAGATAGCACACCAGTGCATCGGCAACTATGGATTCCATGACCTTGGAGAGTATAGGAAGAAGGGATACTGGGCGGTAGTTGGAGGGCTCAGTTATGCTTCTACCTTAGTGAATCGGGGTTATTATTCCAAGATTCCACATAGCGGGAACTTGATTCTGATCTAAGCAGCGCTGGGTAAACTGAGCTAAAGGTCCTGCTAGTTGGTTTGCTGCTGCTTCCAGTGCTTCTGGACGAATGGTGTCGACACCCGGAGAGCTGTGTTTGCGTAGAGACGTCAGCTTTTGCAATACAGCCTCCGCGGTAAAAGTGATGTGCGTTAGTCCTGGCGAGGAGAAGACAAAGCTTGGTAGCTCGCTTGGTGGCAAGGCCCTTCGAAACATGGGAGCATATTGCATGCGCAGCGCGTTTGCTGCTTTCATAGCCGTTCTTATTGGGCCACCGGCCCTCCTGAGTGGAGAAAATCTTTGTCTCACCTTTCGTAGGCTATTGACGTGCTTGTACAGCAGTTTGTGGTTAGCACTGAAGATTTTTCGATGTTCTGCTGATAGGCGGCTTTGTCTTCTCTTAGCAGGAGAATCCAGTGGTTACGTTGGTCTAGGTCGTTGTCCCAAGTTTCTGGTGCTGGAGCTTCTCTGTACACTCGCCATGCTGCGTTGCGTACTGTCATCCATTTTCGAGTTCTGCTCCTAAAGAAAGAAGCTGATGTACACTTATTGCGAACTCTTATCTCTGAAGCCTGTGCAATCAGCTGACTGAATGTGTTGACGAACTCGAGCCAGGCGACTTCCTGGGGTTCTTCGGCAAGGAATGACCAAGTTGTAGCGCTGACGAGCTGTGCTAATCGATCGTAGCTTGTGATAGTTCGCATAATCTCATCGTTCTCATTCCGATATTCCACATAACAGACGAAGGCACAACTGTTGGCTGCGTGATCACTGCGACCGAACGGGCAGTCTACAACTAACACATCAATCATATGCTCCTCGTTGGTAAGCACAAGGTCCAGCACAGATGGCCTGTTGCCTGTTCTGAACCGAGCGGGCAAAGTGATGTGATTGTAAAGAGGAACGGTAATTACGAGATCTTGTAAATCGACTTTGAATTTTTCTTCGATCGTGGCGGGCGTTTCTAAACTATGTACCTTAAAACCACCCATAATAAGTATGTGAGGGTACTTTCTCCGTAAACTACATTTAAAGCATCCGTAAGGTGGCAGTCAGTTTCGGATGTAGAGTTAGAGGGCGAAACACCAAGACAATAAGGCAACTGTCTCTGCCTTTTAACTACTAGCGGCACCAAATAGATTCGGGGAACTGCGAGTCTGAATTCTTCACGGCTTCACACTGTAAGTCGCTTCGGTAATACAGAATTACCCCGTTTTGTGAGCATATCATTCCGGATCAGCGACATGCCTGGTAGCGAAACTTAGTGTTACCGGAGCCCGTCCATAACAGCCATCTCTCTCTGTGTGTCTAGAGTAGCCTTGAAAAGATTGGTTGTATGCCGCCTGTAGCCGATTGACTCGCCAATGACAGTAAGCCAATGGCATCATTTTATCTTGTAATGAACCAATCAGAATGACTTACCGCCTAGCCCTCCAGTAAGCACACTACTTGCTCAGCCAACAAACGAGCTTTTGCGCATCTACCAGTTGCTATAGTCAGGAACTTTCAATTAGGTCTTATTTTGACCTAATATTTTGGCTGTACATTCTGTCTTCCGAGTGCTCCATGCGAGTTCCGCCAGGGGCCTTCGTCTTCTGATTTGGGGAGTAGCTGTATCGGTTATGCGTACTGTCAGCGGATACACGACATTCAGCGTCCGTCATTCCCGTGTGCAACCACGTCTCGGTGATACCAGTGAAATCATATCACCCGGAAGCTTGGCGAACTTTCAATTCGACCAGTTTGTTAAAAGACTCTGAGCATTCGTATGCAAGCAGGCCAGTTTCTCGGTATCTAGGAGCTCACAGAGGGCTGAAGAGGTCAAGTGTGGGAGAATACCGACTGATGGGAGAGCCTCAGTTACTCGTCTTTTGATGGGATATTGGTACCTCGTCTGAAACTTGATTCGGCCAACGTGCGTCCCAATCTTCGTTTACACCTACGTCAGAGTCAATTAAAGCAGCAGTCAAGTTACGTTTCTGTACATTCCTCGGTACCCTTGCTGCTTCAGGTGTTTTAATACTTGAGCTGTGCAAAGCTTCTTCGACTTTTAACCGAAGTTCAGAAGGAAGACTTTTCCGATTTCTCCGCCATCGATCCAAAGCATCCGTTGCTTGTTGCTCTGACTGAACCACAAGTTTTAGGATTCTAGGACCGCATCCTCTATAATTTGGTGAGAGCGGTATCCTGGTAAGCGATAGCGCTACAATATTATCCAAAGAAAGTATTTCACGAATGAACCGCCACTGTTCTAAATCGTACATTCCGGT